GTACGAACACCTATCTCGTAGGCGTAAAAAGTCTGCTGACCTTGAACTTTACCGCGGCGTACAAAGTCTGCCCGTGCGAACGCACGCTTAGAAAGGTAATTTATCTGAGAGTCGGTAACATAGACTGGGTTTTTAATATTTTTTTTAATTTCACGAGGACGTAGTCGCGAGCAATAGCTGGTATTAAACAATGTATAACCTATAAATTATATCATCGTTTGTGTTGGTAAAAATCGTCTTTAAATACTATGAAATAGAAGTTGGCACTAACTCACTGCGATCCGTCATTTGGGAATGCTGGATGACAGCTTATCCATTAGAGATTTCCTTTTCACTGCTTTCAGCGCGGCTGCGGGTATCAGGAGGCCGCGCAGTATTTGATTTCATTCACATATCATTTACTTTAACATTATTTTCACAAAGAGTTTTTTTTAGCAATACAACACATTGAAAGGAAACTATTTTTTTATAATTACCGTCGTTTCGAACACTTTTTAAACTTATGGTCTCGGGGGACAGATGTTTTAGACGTCCAGTTGTCAAAGTTGGTTATGAAGTACCCTCTACATTTTTGTTAATTTGTATCGGTTATATTTTAGTCAGAAATAGATCAGTAGTTCAGTCATTGACCTAAAAATTTTTGCATCAACACAGAGAGATAGTAACTGGCCGATAAGTTATCTACTGATAAGAAGGTTTGATCAAGGTAAATAAATTCTTTCATTCCTCTTTGTTATTCGTTTTATGGTCGTGTTAAAAATGACAATATCTTTGTCATAAATTCCAGTTATAGTCCGAAGTTCGATTTTGAGATTACTCTCTTTCTTTAATTTATAATACTGAAACTGAAACTGTGAAATAGAATATGGTGTTTACATTTTCACTTCACAATTGTGGACGTAAAAAAATAAATATATCAAAAAGATATGACAGTTTCCAAATGCATTGACGTCATGACGAATGGTGCCGTACACGTGCAATAAGGGGAGTGCAACCACCACACGCAATGATATGCAAATAGCAACACATGCTGAAGAGAATTAAAAACAAAATAAAACATGACAAAGCTTATGAACCTAAAAGAATATGAAGCATATAACCCTGTAGTAATTTTAAAAACAATTAGATGTTAGTAAATAAATAATGTGATCCATTAAAAGAAATTAATATGATTATTTAAAGAATAACTTAGTCCTTTCAAAACGATAATAAAAGCTTTGACTGCATCTAAAACCAATGCAAATAAAGCACCGGAACCACACGCCCACAAGGGCATGTCAATGCGGCCTAAAACAGTTCAGAAGCTCAGCACCCGCTCTGCATTGCCGGCATATCGCAACACCGCTCCGCCGAGCTTCAGTCGTCAGTCAGTCGAGCACTCGCTTACGTCTCGCTCGAACGCATGCCCGCTCAACAAAGTTATACTCTTCGATACGCGTTGTGACGTCAAGTGATGTGAAACTTGTGACAGAAAGACTAAAGTATCTAAAAGTATTATCAAATTATTATATAGAGAAATCAATAAGTCTCATCTGTGCATAAGTGGACCTCAAAAGTCGAGGAAGTTTTATTGCATCGTTTGTGCCGGCACGCTAATTGCTGTTTGCCGTAGGTAAGTAAAGTTTGATTCTGTTAAAAACAATGGACGCATCAGTTTTTTAATGAACTAACTTGTCAGCAAAACGTGTATACAAATAGGTTTATTCATAAAATGACATTCTAGACGTCTCTAATTAGTTCATAAGTTAGCTACTGAGATTTTTTGTCTTGTACGGATGACAAAAAAAGGGATGCTTCGCATATTACGTCTATCGACTTGAGGCATCCGTCGGCTTGGAACCTGTTCTCGAAATCAGATGTTAGTTTGTTAATATACTTGTTTTATTTATTTGGAATTTACAGTGCTTTTTGCGTTTTGTTTTCTTAAAAACTTGTATGTTTTGTAGCACTGTTTTACCATGGTTATATCCAATAGGATTTTTTTCATGCTTTACTGTTTGTTATTATTGGTTTTAAGTTTAACTTTTGTGCAATATTTTTAAGTTTGCTTGTTGGGTACCTACTACACATTCTTGGTTGTTTTTTAGTTTTTATATCAACTTTTCAATTACGGCATCGCAGCCCAATTTGTTGATAACACTGATTAGTAAATGCAATATTGTTTTTGCCTTTAGTAATTCATGTTATAATGAATCTTTTGGAAGGGTCAAAAATCTCAAATTGTACAATTCTTTATACACCTCAATAAACAAGCAATATATCATTTGCTCACTACCAGCATGACGTAATGTGCTACAAACAAAACACCCATATATTTCGTTGTAGGGGCTCGTTAGTTTTCCGCACGGCCAGTCTCACCACAAACTTCACCGCTATCCAGGTGCAAATCGAATTAGATGACAAAGTTGCAAAACTTGTACTATGGAATCAACTAAATTTGGTTGCTTGAAATTAATATCTTTACAAGTAAAACCAAAGTGTATTAATGTAATCACTGTTATTACATTTTCTAATAAAAAACAATAGAAGTAAAAGTTTTTTCTGATATATTTATGAAAAATATTATGTTTGTAATTCATTAATACTTAATTTGAAATATTTGCAAGCAGATTAAGCTTTACATATTCAAATAGATATCGTTCATTGAAATTGATTTCATGTTCCAACGGATACTATGAATTAATTAAGGGCCAGAGCGATCGGTTCTCTTGTATTAATTAAAATTCTGTCTTCGCTCCGGCGATTGGCTTTATGATAACAAATTTGTCTGCTCCCGCTCGCGACTCATTAAACACAACTAATCTACTAAGTGCGAGGATTAAAATAAATTTGCTTTTTATACAGAAGTGGAAATAAAGAGAAAACGGATCCCAGGTTTGGTTGTCTATATGTGGAACTTTAGATATGCCCGCCAAATGCGAACTTTAGTTAGTTTGGAATCAAACTTTTAGGGCCTGTCCCACTACTGGCTGATATAGACTCAGATAGTTTAAAAATGACGTCACTGTGTCAGATAAGGGAACTGTGCAATATTTTTCACGTTGGATTGTTATCAGACAATTTACAATTTGGTAAGACAGGTCATTATTATTATAAAACGTTAGAAAATTAATTACTAATACAATCATAGACTGATATATGAGTTACGTTTATGAAGAAATGCTTTATCATGCATTCTAGGCGGTGAATGTATACAATACATACATCTATAGGGTGGCTATTATCAACGCAAATAGTACAGAGGCTACTGACATCATTCTCTAACCGATAATGTTTACTTACGATATGTCATCCTGCCGGCCATTTACCTAGACAGCGAAGGAAATAATAAACACAACAAATTACGTACTGCTATCTCCTGAACATTAGATAAGGCGGGGTAATGTCCTGGAGACATCCGCCTTGAGTAGCGGGACTCAAACTTAAAATTGTCTCTACTAGATAATATAAAAATAATCCAAATACGCTCCACTAGCCATCCTATTAAAAACATTTTCGTCTATCTAATGAAAAAAAAACTAACCTAAAAGTCCTTCTGATCTCTTTCGAATTGGTCAAAAATTGATAGCGAAGCAAAAACCATAGTCTATTGTTTGAGTAGGGCTCTTAAATCTCAACAACCCTTGTGAAGGACAAGATATGCTGTTGACTAATTTAAGGTTAACTTTTAAAGTGAAGTATGGTCGTCATATTTTACTTGGAACCTCTATCTTTATTACTAGTACATTTAGTGTACAGGATAATAATAATTCACAATTAGCACAGATACATAAAACGGTAGGGCAATCATTATAGTATAGGTATACTGCAAAAGGGTAGGGGTAGATAGACATTATTATAAATAATTCGCCAATTCAACGCGGTCCCGGCCATTTGCTGACCGGGCGGTCGTTGCCTCAGGGAAGGTAAAAGCAAACGTAACCCCTAATAATAACTAATTGCTATCGGCCGGTGTCAGAAACATAAGGGTAGAAATAAAACGAACAAATTTAACCCTACGCTTATTAAACTCTATTCACGTTTGTTACATTATTTAAATATTTTTTAACTGATAAAATGATAGCTTTTTGCAAGCACGTTAAGAATAAAGTCCGGTTTTACAGTATAATTATTGGCACAAAAAAGAAGCCTGAATACAACTGTATTAAATACTTTTATTCTTAACAGCCCCACTTGACAACGCATTATAGAAATTAAAAACGTGTAGATTTACAAAAACTTTCGATATATCAACGCCTTTATTCCTATACTAGCTTCCGCGCGCTTCCGTCCGCGTGGTAATAATAAAAACAATTGAAAGTAGCCTATGTGTTCTTCCACACTATTCTCTACATCTATGCCAAATTTCATTCAGATCCGATTCAGATTTAAGGCTACAAACTCTAACAAAGATCCATCCATCCATCCAAACTATCATATATATAATATCTAAGTTTATACTTATAATATAGTAATATGTTTGATGCATATTGTTGATTCAAGCCAAATTGCTTATAAACAGGAACTTTGTTTACGAGCTCTGCTTAAATTTTAGCGCCTATTCAGCATATTATGCCGTTTTAGTATGCCAATATTTTTGTTTAATAGCCTACTATATACAACGAGACGAGAATTGTCAAGTCGAATGTAAGTTACGACATAAGAACTTGGCGAAACTGCATACGTAATTTATGTCGAAATACCAACCTATTTACTAAGGTGTCAGCAAATATATTGCACACGCTAAATTACGTGCTTTATGAGTATGTACTTAGAAATTTTACTTCATTATCTATTCTTACTAATATAATAAATGCGAAAGTTAAGATGGATTGATGTTTGTTAGAGTTTCTAGCGTAAACGGATGTCAATGAAATTTGGCATCAATTTAGAGGATAGCCTGGAAGAGCACATAGGCTACTTACTTTTGTTTTTTTAATTCCACGCGGACGGAGTCGCGGGCGAAAGCTAGTCAGCTCATAGTTTTGTAATATGATTTTAGTGACCTCTAATTTGATTTTGTTTTAGCGATATCATTTTTATCCGTGATATTTAGAAGACAGAACGTAATGAGTGATTTAAGAACTGCGTTATAAGGTTTATTTTGGCTTGAAACTTTAAAGTGAGCACAGAATGTAGGAGCACTGAACTTTGCCGTCAGCCGAGGTTGTCTTCCCCACACCTGAGGTTACACAGCCATTAGTTCGGAGCGTTTATAGTTTCAAGATAGGTTTTTAACATGTGCTTTTGAGTCACGCATCATTTCAAAACTGTTTTCATTTTTGAATAGTTTGAGTCTTTCAAACATTCAAGTTCCACTTTAACTAATAACATGTCAAGAAGACTTCAAGAAAAAAAAATTCTTCATTTTACACATTGTTTTGCACATGGCCTAAATATTTATGCAATTTCTCTTTAGGGTAACTAGGTCCAGTCGTTTACTTAATCAACTAGTCGTTAACTTAATTCACCTAAATATTATCATTAAATAATCATGTTCTTGATCAGCTTCAAGATGTACTTTCATAGTTTTGTTCATTTTTTTTTCGCTAAACACTACTTAGTTATTTTTAACTATCTAATTAACCAAGAACATAAGTGTAAGTTATAACTAATGTGCTTCAACTACTTCAATAAAATCTCAACCCATTAAGTAACTATAAGTTGTCATTTCAGAAAACCTATTCTGTGTTCATCGTTACGCATTCTACTACCAAATTGTATTCGCTTTAACTTATTTTGGCTTCGTCATTGAAGTAATCTGAGAGATGCAACCGTGTTCTGATTAAAAATAGACTCATTTTTTTAAAGTTTGCTGGATGTTTCATTTGTTTTTTTTTTGTAAATGTGATAAGAATAATCAATAAACCAACATTACAAGTCAGTTTAGAAGAAGGCGTAATATTTAGATATTGCTGTCATGTTTACACGAATGGGTTGTTTTGGGCATAGTAAGGTTTTTATGGCTTTACTCCGTGTTTAGTGACTATTTCGGATTGATCAGCGCCGGCCCCTCACGACCCGACTCGAGTCGGAACGAATCTCAGCTGCGGACCGGTTGTGATAATTAACGAATTAGTTCGCCCGGTTAATTAATAGTAGTTTTTTACTTAATCTTTGATGTAACAGCATGTCAATGAATATAAATCACAATTGATATTATATTAACAAGCTTAGATATCGATGATTTAGGGCCTGTCCTACCAAATTGTAAATTGTCAGATAATCCAACGTGTAAAATATGTGGAATGTGGATGGAAATATCGTGTTTTATCCCTTTGACGTCATTTTTAGGCTATCTGAGCCTTGATCAGCCAGTGGTGGGACAGTCCCTTAGTGTTATTGTATCTAAGAAAGGGATTTAATCTTTCCTGCACTCGTTATCTTTTCTCTGACGCATGTATTACTTGAGTTATTGTAATTATATCTCCTAGTTTATGAAGAAACGAAGATGAATCTTTTTAATTTCATTTATTAAATAATACAATTGACTAGACCCTTCTAACTTAATTTGACTAGTCTTCTTGTGGGAAAATAAAAGGCTGAAAAATGCTTACAAAATATGATTTATTTCTTTGAAAAATTTCAAGTATTTTGTACAAAACATTTTCGTCTTAAATATTTCTTCGGAAT